AGTATTCCATACAGGGACGAATAAGAGATTTGTAGAGGTAGAGAATGAAATCAGAAGTAAGCAAATGGCGAGCACAATAAAGAGAAGCAACCTTAGCAGAAGCTAATTCAGCAATCGATTGTATATATGGTTACCATGAAAGGTCAGTAGTAAGTGATAATCCAAGAAGATGTAAAGAGGAGGACTCAGTAAGAGGATTGCCATTCATTAATATAGGAATGTTGACCATATTACGGTAGTTGTTTGCAGTAAACAACTGGGTTTTGTTAGAGTTAAAATTCACAAGCCACTGTGAACCCCAATCTATTACTGAAGTGAGATCGGGTTCAAAATCAGCTGCTTGTTCTAGGCGATCGAAAAGAGAAGACTTTTTGTCAAAACAGGAGTATAAAGTTGAGTCATCAGCAAAAAGAGCTACTTTAGATGAAAGGTTGTCAGAAAGATCGTTTATGTAGATAAGAAACAAAACAGGGCCCAGGATGGAACCTTGGGGAACTCCAGAAGTTACTGGAAATAAAGAAGATTGTTGGCCTTCAAGGATGACTTCAATAAACAGTTTAGAAAGAAATGATTTGATAATCTCAAAAACTTTCCCAGAAACACCATATGAAGCAAGCTTATGGAGAAGACCAGCATGCCAAACTTTGTCGAATTAATTAACTGAAGGTTTAAAACTTAAAGTAAATTAGCAAAAATAATAACTGGTAAAAAAATAACTTGTACAACTGATAACTTTAAAAAAATAATGAAATCAAACATGTTTATTAAATCAACATGTTTGATTTCATTTCACTTTTTTCTTTTTTTTTTACGTTCTAAAGAAAATTGATTTTATTGGTTCTGCTGCGTGCTAAACTTTTGAGCACTTTTATATATATATATATATATATATATATATATATATATATATATATATATATATATATATATATATGTATATATATATATATGTATATATATATAAATGTGTGTGTGTATATATATTTATATATATATATATATATATATATATATATATATATATATATATATATATATATATATATATATATACAGGGTTTGTGACGAATAAAATCGTCAAGCATGTTATATTGCGCTCGTAAAATTAAAATATGTTTTCATCGAGCGTGATTATGTGCGCTCGAGATAACGTCGATGAGCGCGATCATGAAAATTGCTGAAGAAGATCTTTTTTTATTTGTTACATCATTCTTTTGTCGACAAATGTTATAATTAGTATCACACTCATGAAATAACACTCTTGTATATTGTCAGATCGGGATTTTTTTTTAACTACTTATGTTATAAAAAAAATATATATCATATTTGCGCTATGACACCGCGATAATTTCCAAAGTTTACACTTGCACCATCTGATGTTATACTGACTAATTTATTTGTGTAATGATTGGAGTCTAGTTTAAATTCCCCGGTTTCAAAAATGTTATTTATTCCCTTGACAATGGAGTCTGCTTCTCCTCTGCCAAACCTATCAATATCAACTAGATCCAGAACCATATAAAAAGGAGAACCACATCTTTCAATTCTTGCCAAAACTAACTCTTTTTCTTTATTTGTTTTTCGAGCTTGGCTAGCATCGCACAAAATCGAGAAGAATTGAGCTTCTTTAAGGATATTGGCACATTTTTCACGCACAGCCATCGCAATGCATTTTACCAATTCACGCCCGCTACCAAAGTCGATATTGACGCTTGAATCTAAGAAGCAGAAGAATATCACAATTACAAAAATACACTGTTTCCTCAATATAATATATTTTATAAACATCGATTTCATTTTTTTTTTTTAAAGGAAAAAACTTTCGAGCTTTTTTAACTAATATTAATTACAAGTTTTTCTTTTTATAAGAAACCAATCAAACGGTTAGTACTAAAAAGTTTCTAATTTTGAGCATACTTTTTTCTAAATCTAGTAGTAAAAGTTTATTAAAAGTTTCTTTAATTTCAAGTTTTTATTCCTAATCAAATTCAATTCAATTCGATTGTGCGTGGAAATTAAATTCTCATTGTAACTGTTGTTCTCCATCGTAGATAATATTAACTTCGATGAGATATTTAGGTTAAAAATGAGCAAATATTCACTTATAAATAAGTTTCTTATTGAAAAGTTACTTAGTACTAAAAATTTCTTAAAATTTTAAGGCTCCTAGTACTAGTTTCTTATTAAAAAAAACGTGTAATTTTTTCTGACTTTTTTTAATGTTACAGTTGAATGAATAATAAAAAAAAGTTAACAAACTTTAATTAATGCAACGTTAGTTATAAATGTTAGTTTCATCTGTGTCATTAAAAAAAGAACTTTGAAAAAAAAACGCTGTTGTTCAAAAAATAGTTTGTTCTTAGTTTAATCAAGTTTTTTTAGGTTTAATTTTTTTCTTTTGTTGACAAACTTTTTTTAGGTTATTATTTTTTTTATTTTTCTTATAGTTTAGTTTAATTTTTTCAGCACATTTTAAAATAATTAAATATCAACATTTAACATAAACATCATCAAACATTTGCAAATGTGTAAATGCTTAATAGCCAAATCATCAAAACAAAATATGAGGCGCCTCACAGGAAAAGGTAAGAAGTGAAAAAAAGTTAACGAGTGAAAAAAAGTTAACGAGATAATGATCTGTAAAGAAAGTAATCTCTATATATTATTATCTTTGAAATCTTTATTGTTAAGATAATAATTTATTAGTTACCTTTGAGGATTTTGTATTTTGTATTCCATCGGTTGGCGTAACACATCGCTCATTTGAGGGTTTCTCGCTTTCACACCTTATTGCAGTAAGGTGAGAAGCTGATTCCAAATATCTTTGAATTGTGTGGATCGACACAAAGTTCGTCCCATCAATAAACCGTAAAGCATATTGTCGTATCAAACTTTTACAACCTTGTAATACCGCTTCTCTATTTCTTGTACAAACTTTGCAGTAAATTTCAACAACATATGTAGTTCCGCTGGTAACTTCAGTTCTAAAGCCTATTACCTCTTGAACTTTCCATTTAATAAATGTTGACAACATTACTTTGTTTCCTTTTGGAATGTCATTGATTGCGGACATTCTAAACAACAGAATCGTTTTAAATTTGAGTTAAAATAAATAATAGTTAATAAAAAACTTATACTATAAACAAAAACTAATTTAAAAATATACTGAATCATTATTTATTTTTATTTTAAACGATGTATGGAATATTACAAACAATAAATCAAATAAATCTTACTTGATGTTTTCACAAGATTAAAATAATTCTGCAGTTTCAATTTTCTTATAATGGTTTTCTAATTTTTTATTATTTTATTTATGCATTTTTGTATTTGTATTGAATTTCTACATGCACATTCCATCTATGAAATTAGTGCCTATTAACGACTTCAAACTGCTCATTCATTAGGTTAGTGCAAAAAAGAACGACATAGTGCTTTTTTTATTTTATATTATATTAGTGCTTCGATAATATAAAATCTTTATTAAAAAATCTTTTTTTCATATTTTATGAAAATAAAAAAAAAAGTTATTATTTGTTTTGCCCCGAACTCTTGGACGAGCGTTATTTTATACGCTCGTTATAAGCTGAACGAGCGTTGTTTATTGCGCCTGGAACGTTTCAAAATACCATTTACGGGCGCGTTTCATGAGCGGAGTGCGATCGCGCTCGATTCATCACAAGCCCTGTATATATATACACACATATATATGCGCGCACAATATTGGTAAAAATTAAATTAGAAATAAAAAATTAACATAAAAGCTAGTATATTACTAAATAAAAGCTAAGTCTAAACGTCTTTTATTGTATATATTTTATTATAATATTGTGAAGGTAAAATACCTAATAATGTGAAGGTAAAGTATATTAGAAAATTTTCTGGTAAATTTACCGCCTGTTAAATTTAAAAACCTTTTAAAAAAGTATGCTATAACAAGCTTATTTTATATATTTACTGCAAATATGAAACAACATTAACTTTATTAACAGAGTTTTACCATAAGAATAAAATAATTAATTTTAAAATTTTCAAAAGATTAACTATATGGTTCCATTGAACACTTATTATTTAAAAATTTTAACTCTTGAGTTAACTGGTTTTTATAATTACGAATATTTTATATTTGCGAAGACTAAAAAATTCACTTTAGTTTACTAGCAAAGTCTTACGATGAAAATTACGAGCAAAAAAGGTATATCAGGTGACGTATCAGAGATTTTTAAATTTTGAACAATTTGTGCAACTGACACATTGATCTAAACTTTCTATAAAATTGGTTGGTTATAAAAAGCATCTCTATCTTTTTTGAAACATTTTCCTTTTTTTTCGGAAGGTTTTTAGCAACTGTCGCAATTGTTATTTTATTAAATAGTTATTGGTTTAAACTGTTTTTTAACCAAACGTTTATGCTTTAGAGCACGATTGTGAAAAGTTTTGCATCACATGTTACAAAGTGACTGAAAAAATTTGTAAAAATTTGTACAAATAAGATTGGTTCAAGCGTTAAATATTTTTTCTTTAACCAATCACATTTGTATGCAGTGAAAAACAACTGCATCATTTGCTCCAAAACACAGAAAATTTTGTCTATGTAGCAAATAAGTGACTATAGAGATCAAATAAAATTGAGTTTTTATTTAATAATTTTTTTTTGATTTTGAGTTTACATTTAATATAAATTAACTAAAATTTAGCGGTGCAAAAAGACAATAGTGCACGCGCATCTTTGGCGACACCTAGATCTGCCCCTGTATATCAAGATCCTTGTTTCTATGTTATAGGGCTGAAAATATGTTTTGTTTAAAAAAGTAGACTTCCCAACTTTAGTAAGTCTAAATAAACGTATATAAGTTCAATTACTTTTGTGGAGAATGTTTATCATGAGATATGCCCAAACTAAAATTAAACACTGTTTTTTAATCAAAGCTGTTGAAATGTTTTATAAGCAAATGTTGAAATGTCTAAACTAAAATTTTTAAACAATCATTTTTTTCCAGAATGTGATGACTGTCAGCAACCACATTTACCTGTTAACTCTTTCCAAGTAAATAATAAAAGTGCAGTTTACAAAGATAAATCTTTTTTATATTATAAATGTGAAGATGGTTATAGTTTTGGGGCTGATTCACTGCAGAAAATTCAATGTGTAGGTGGAAAATGGGATCCAAGGATATTGCCAAAATGTATAGGTTAGTTAAACTATTTTTTATTAAAGAATTCCTTTAGATAATTTCTTGTATTATCTCACATTAGTTTATAAAGTTATATGTACCACAATTTGTGTTGCTTTTGCTTAAAGTTTATAGTAACAAATTTTTAAACTCTAATGCTGATGGAAATAACTTAATATGGGAACTAATATCCCTAAACTCAGATTTTTCACAGAGACCTTTGATGCTCCAAATGGGAAAAGAATCATGTGAGAATGCATAGTCTATAATCATTTTTTAATGCGAAAATCAAAACAATGAAAAAGGATATTAAACTAAACATTGTTGCAAACAGTTTTGACAGAAAAGCATCAAATATATATCAGGGCCTTGGAGGTGCTTACTGTGATCTTTGTGATTTATCTAAAGAATAATGTGAAAATATATGTACAGTTGAACAGGGATTCATTATAAATAGAGACATTGAAACCATGGAGCAGATGTTTTTTAACCTAGTTCACGAAGATGGTTCCTTAATTAAAAAGTCAAAGGATTATGATTTTCATCGTGTGCAAACAACAAATCCAATAGCTGGATCTAATGTAAAGTCTATAAAAGTACTCCATGCATTACTCAGTTCATTAAATTCATGGTTCATATGGCTGCAGGAGTCCGTGCATGGACAAAATGTCCAAAAAGAGTCCAAGATAGTAAGTACTACCTACTTCCTTGAAATAGAGAAAAAATTTATACATGATTTAATTGGCAAAAAAAAAAATAGGAATCTGTTAAAAAAAGTCAGATTTTGCAGATTCATAAGGTCAAATGGGTAGTACTACAACTTGCAAGGGGGTAGTGCTACAACTTGCAAGGGGGTAGTACTACAACTTGCAAGGGGGTAGTACTACAACTTGCAAGGGGGTAGTACTACAAATTGCAAGGGGGTAGTACTACAACTTGCAAGTTGGTAGTACTACAACAATGTAGCTAGAATTCTTCTTTACAATTAGAAAAATAGAAAACTGATTACTGATTACATAATAAATAAACATGACAGAATATTAGCAGAGCAGTATAGTCTCTTGTTGTCTAATATTATTTGTGCTATGTCATCTAGTCAGAAAATTAAGAAAAAAATATAAAGAAATATAGAAATATAGAGACATATGTTGACATATAGAGACATATAACATTCTTCTTTAACAAGAAATGCCCTGGGATAGTTTGATGCCAACTATTCATAATTTATTAGGACATATTTTGGAGTCAATTGAGTTAAATAATGACTCAGGACATCCAATCATGGAGTGTGGAAGGCACCTAGGCCAACAACAAACAACTGAGAATATTTAGGGAAAAATTAACAAGAAAAACAAATCAGTTGTAAAACTTAGAAGATTGTTTTAAAAGACTCTGGGTGGGTTCTGATCCTTTAGTTACCAAGCAACGGAACAAAGGCCGAATACAATGTGAATTGTGTAGTGAGATAGGACACAGCAAAAAAACATGGTTCAAAGTACATGAAAATGATATTATTTATACTTAGTTTATATAAAATTAAAAAATAAAACTTGAGCATTTCCTTGTATTTTGTCTTTTTAGAAATTTACATAAAAAATTTAGTGCAATATGCTTAAAGAAACAATAAAACATTTTTATAACCACAAATAACTCAAAACCAGGTAATTGGTAAATATATATGGCATACCAAATTATAGGCAATACTATTTAGTTTCCAAGATATTTGAGAAAGGAACAAAATATAAGAGATTTTTGTTTTGCAGAAACTTTTCCATTCAATTTTTTGAAAAGGAAAGAAATTTTTTTATTTAAAATGTTAAAGTTTTGCATATATTTCAAATTAGAAAATGTCTGAAAAATCTCTGAGAAAAAAAACTCTGCTGTTATTATTCTTTAAATCTAACTCTGAACTTTTTTTTACATATTTTACAAGACTCTGAAAGGTTGTCATTTCTTAACCACGCATAATAATGACCTCTTGTCTTTTGCATTTTATTCGAATTTCATTCTAGTTTCAAAAAATCATAAAATATTTTTTGTCAAGAAAAATTTTTTAGTTTGGGCTGATTTTTTTAACCTTTTTCTAAGCACTTTAGGTATATCTTGTCCTTCAGCTTTACTAGAACCTGCAAGTATTTTTGGAATGTCCAGAAACTTTGTCTGGTCTTGGCAAAATGTCTACCTTCTCTGTTCTGGTTAGGTCTAGCATTAGCACTAAAAAAAGCATTAACACTAGAAAGTCATGTAAAGAATAAAAACTTTTTTGTCACAAAAACTAAAGATGTCACTAAATTATTGTCATATATAATAAATGTCATTAATTAAAATATGAAAAGACACTCAATTAAGTAGTTCAGCAGATGCAGTTGAAATAGAATCCGCTTGTACGCAATTACAAACAACAGTTTCATTTACTTATCACGATAGAGGTAAAATTAATGCAGAGATTTGATAGATACTTAGACATGTTGTTTGTAGGTACAATGGTAGCTCTGTTACCAATAATGTTATTACATTTCAGGCTATATTTCCAAGTGCAACAAGTGCAACTATCAATGGATAGTCCTACCTAAACTGGAAGATTTTCAGAAAAAAATCAATTGGAAAGAGAGGAAGCTGGTCTGAGTAAACTAGTAAATATTGACTGTTGTAACCTCTACAACATTCATAGAGCCTTCCAAACAGCTACAGAAACTTCAAGTTAGAAGTTAAAATCTATCATGAAAGGATATTTTTAATTTTATAAAAATTCTCCTGCTAACATGAAGATTATATTTCTGTTACAAGTTCTACAGTTTTTCTGCTACTGTTTTGTCCAACAAGGTTTATGAATGTCTTACTACAGTCTAACTTTTTAGTTTATTTATAAGTTTTTGAAATCTTTTTTATTAAGAGAAGATAGTTTCAATTAATTTTTCAAAAACATTTATATTTACGTGTTAATCTTATAAATGTCTTTCATTATAATTTTATCATTTTAGAAGAGTCAAGGACCAACAGCTAGCATTAAAGAGATATGGCCAAATATAATAATGATAGTTGATTTCTGTCAGAACCTACCAGCTTGAAAAAGCCTATCCTCAGAGAATTATTTGACTATAAAAAAAGCAGTTTAAAATGAACGACTTGTAGTAACACTTTTATTTTTCTGCTATACTGTCAACCTTTTGCAGCCATATCTTAAAAAGTATCAAACACATAATCAAATTTTGCCAATAAACTTTTCTGCGCAAGGATCTGGAAATATTACAGAGATCCCTAATTCAGTTGGTTGTTAAAACTGATGTTCTCCTCAAATGTGACTCTGTTTTTGACTTGTAATAGCTTGATCTTACTGATAAAGGTATTTATCTGAAAAATAAAAGATATGCATTAGGATTTTCAACTGAAAAAGAACATGGGAATTTATTGCGCAAAGATAAAATAAAATCTGCAGGCATAAAAAAAGTTTAAAAAGGAAGCTGCAAATATGGTAATTGTTATATTGGAGAAAATTAATTAAAATAGTCAATTACATGATTGCATAGTAAGAAATACAAATCCATTTTATCCAAGTTCAATATTCTCTATACAACCAAAGCATGATGAAACAACTCTTTACTTATCTCGTATCATAAAAGGTTAGTAATGCAGATAAAGTTTTGCCACATTATTTAGATCTGATCGCTGTGCTATCTCAAGATTCTGAAAAGGTGAATTCTTTCAGTTGAAAGAGCTTTAGTCTAGATGAATTTTTTTTTCATAAATCTTTTATCAATATACCAAAGCAGTTAAAATCTGTTCTAACATTGTTTCTAGTTACAAGTCTGGTCAAGCAAGTTTAGAGAGAGGATTTAATGTTAATATTTTATATTCAAAGTTGATTTGAAAAAAAGATCAATGATATTAAGAAAGATGATAATAGACTATATGCAAAAGAACAACCTAATACCTTCAACAAGAGAACTAAAAAAAAAGTTATAAAGACTGTTAAAGGTGCCAAAACTAGGCCTTGAACAAAAGTGAAAGAATGCTTAGTAAAATTATCATTAAAACTAGTTGTCATGGCCCGTAAAATACTGATCTTGGGGATCTATTCCAGACTGACCTTTTCTATACTTAATCCTTACATTAATATTTTTTAGTAAGAGATAGAAAAATAACTATATACATATAGAGAATTTATACTTATTGTTTACTTTTTAAAGTTATAAAAAAAAAAAATTCTATTATAAATAACTTTAAAAAGCTTTAAACCTTTCGGTATACATTGCTATTTATCAAAGGATTAATTATTAGTACCAATCTAAATAATATTTAGAATACCTTTTTGAAAATTGATAATTACTATAGGTATAAAAAGTTTCAAAAAACTTGAAATGACCCCTATAATACTGGTCATGGTAAGTCTATCTCGACCATTTTTATTTTGCCTTATTTCAATAATATTTAAAAAAGAGAAAAATATAAAAATCTTTGTTTTGAGTCGAAGATTGACGTTCAATACTTTATAACTTCTATAAATTTCTATTAAAAAAAAAACAAGGACAGAGGGTTATTTTTTTCTCTAATAAGTTTCTACTAATTTTTTTTTCAGATCTGTAGCGTATTAGGACTCTTGCCCCATTAGTTTTAAAGAAAAATCAAGTTTTTTATGTAAAATCTTTTTTTTATAAAAAATAAAGTTGTCTCTTTAATGCGCAGACTTAACTAATTACTAAGCTCATTAATAACTATCTATCATGTATCATGTATCTATCATGTATCTATCAAGTATCTTTATCATGACATAGGGCAACTAATTTTAAATGGTGGTATCACTTTTTAGAAATTTTTAAAGCTTTTTAATGTTTTAAAAAATTTTAAAAAAGCTTTTTAAAAAGTTCTCTTCCCTTCATTTGTTATAGTATATAATATCTTTATATATGTTATGCATATAATATCTTTATATATGTTATGCATATAATATCTTATATATGTTATGCATATAATATCTTATATATGTTATGCATATAATATCTTATATATGTTATGCATAT